TTAACACATTTATTATTCTTAGTTTAAAAACCTGACCATTTCTGCATCTGTTCTTTCTGTGGGTCTTCTGATGACTGTTTTTGCTCTTGACTAGGCACCTTTTCTTATTTCACTTGTCTTACAGTTTTAAAAAGATTTAATGCCAGACCTCTGTGTAAGAAAAGTAGAGACAGAAGTAACTAATATTTACCACCAGAAAAAGGAATGCCCCTTTTTCTATCAGGCTCCTGTGAGATGTGTGTCTCAGCCTAATCTCTGAGCTGAGCTGTGTCTGGAGCTGGTTGCACTTTCAGTTAGATTTAAGTTACCACTTGTTTCAAGTGCTTCCTTTAAACAGGTTTTGAGCTCTAAGCACTGGGAAATTCCGGGGCTCTCTGCTTCCTGGTCCAGATGCCAGTTTTGGAGCATCTCTGGGGAGCTCTCGTAGTCCTCCAGCCCAGACCCTCGCTTTCTGAACCTTGGGAGGTGTCTCGCCCTGCTGCCCTGCCTCCATTCTGCAGTGGGCCACTGAGGCACAATCAGTGAGGCCCATATGCTTCAGGGGCCCTTGCTTCCATTCCTCCACCCGTGCTCAGCCTGACCCTGGCTGAAGCCCATGTGAGCCTCGGGGCACATTATGCAGCTCTGGGCCTCGCCCCAGATTTGGTGTGCTACTGACATACCCACATGAAGGCCCAAGGGGACAGTTGCAGATCTGCTCTGTGACTAACGTCCCTGGGGTGCGAATCCATCGCACCAGTGCACACGTGGCCACTAAACCACGGGTGGTTCTTTCCTTACCCCTGTCTTGAATGAATTTGCTTCTCTTCCCATTGCTTTGCAAGGATGAAAGGAGTCGCTGGCCTTTGTCCCTGAGGAGTGGAAGTGGCTTGTCCTTTCTGGAATTTAGTTTCTTTGCGTCCTCAGTTCTCTGCTGGTTTAAACACCATGTAATTCTAAGCTTTATCCTACTTGTTCTCTTTGTTAGACTGAGAGTTACAGTCTGTTGTGACTTTCTGTGTCCTAAACGGATGTAGAAAATGTTGTCACATTGCCCTCCAGAAAGATTATGTCAGTCTGTACACCCACTAGCAGGTTCTTCAAGTTTGACTTTCATTTTACATCTCAGAAGTTGTGTTAGGCATGTGAAATTAAAAAAGTATTCCCTCAAGCAATTAAAAATGGTTTCAAATCAATATTTTCTGATACTTTTAAATTAGAATTATTGATTGCAAAGATAGGGCTTCTTGGAAAGCCACTAAAAATATACATGAAAAATCTGAAAAAGAGATTTCAAGATGGAGACGTAAATTAAGAAGAGGGGTCCCTCGATGACACTGGGAGCAGGAAGAGGAATTCCGACTGGGTAGACTGGGGGGAAATGGTGTTCAGTAACTGGTGTTGAACTGTGCAGTTCCTCCGTGTGAATCAGCCGCTCCTGGGATTCCAGGCCACAGTCAGAAATGGACAGGGAAGCATCGAGCGACCCCTGCGCATTTGGACATGCTTGGAAGTCTCACGGGAGATTTAAGTCCTTTCTTCTCCCTCAGGGCTCTGTGCCCAATTCTCTACTCCCTGTCCACTCATCCAAGGTGAGCTTCTGCTTCCAGGCCCCTAGGTCCCATCTGTAACCAAAACGGTAGCTCATTCTGGCTAAACTCCCGATCATAGCTCCAGTTACTTCCCTGAACTTTCTGCTTGGACTTCATCTAATTGGCATTTCAAACATGAGCCGGCAAACAGAGCCCTTGACTCCCAGTGTCCTCCCTCTCAGTAAGAGGCACCTCACGTCCAACACCTGGCAATTATCCACGACTTCTTTTTTTCTTCCTATCCCATGCTGAGTCCATCTATCAGCAACACCTTGTCTGCTCTGTATCTTGATTACATCTCTAATTTGTCTATTATTTTTTCCATATCCAGGGCTACCACCTGGTCCAAGTCACAATCACCTCTTTTTAGACTCTAAGAATTGCCTCCTCTCTGCTCTTTTCCTCGTTTCTTGCTCCCCTGTGATTTACTCTCAGCCTTGCAGCCAGAAACCAACATATGTTACGGAAGAGCCTTCCCTTGGTCTGGACTATCCCAGACCTTCCCATTGCAGTTGGGGAAAACCCAGCCCTGGTGCAGGCCCCGCAGTGTCACCCACCCCGATCTCAGCAGGTGCTGCCCTCTGCCTCGCCTGGCACAGGTGCGCTCTGCACACACTGGCCTTTGCTCTCCCGAGCACTCCCACCTCCTTCCTGCTCAGGCGCTCTTTGCCTGTTGCTATTTTCCCTGGTTAGGACATTCTTACTCCAGCGTCTTGGCTGCCTGGCTCATTTCATCCATCCTGCTCAGTTCATCACACTTCCTAGAGGACTGCCTGCCCGATGGCTCCCCGCTGCTCTCCCCCTCGCTCCATCTAACCGTCTTTGCGACACTTGCCACTGTCTGCCTTACATCATCACTTACTTGGCTGTTCCTCATCTGTCTGCTCCCCTCCAGGTCCTAAATGTCCCAGAGCAGATCTTACCTGTTTTGTTTACTGCATGGTTCTCAGTGCCCCAAGCAGTGGCTGAAATAGGTGATCAGTAAATATTTTTTGAATGAATTCCACTTCCTTATAAGTCAGTGTTCCATAGACTCCCTTCTTTTCCTGCTTGGTGTGCTTTGCCCATGGCTTCCGCAAGGCCATTTCCCACACTGCGTCTCCAGCCCCACCCTGTCTGATCTCCAGATTTATGTAGTCAATCTTCAAATGGACATTCCCACTTAGATACCCCAGATGGAACCGATTACTCTCCCACAAACTTTTCTTCTGTTTTAGTTATCTATTGCCATGTGCACACTTCCCCAGAGTCTTGAAATTTAGCAATAATATTAATTTGCCCACAGATCAGCAATTTGGGCAGGTCCCAGGGGCAGCTTGTCTCTGCCCCATGCAGTTCAGCAGGGGAGCGGCAAAGGCAGGGAGCGGCGATGTCGGGCGCTGGAAGCCTGTGAAGGGTGGTGGCTCCCTCAGGTGCCAGCAGTCAGTGGCGGCTGGTGACTGGAACCCCATCTGGGGCTGTCGGCCAGAACACCTGCATGGGGCCTCTCCACGTGGCTTCCTCACAGCCTGCTGATGGGTGTGAGCGTCTTAGAAGGACTAGGCAGAAGCTGTAATGCCTTTTGTGATGTCATCTGGAAATCACATATTGTCAATTCTGCCGTAGTTACAGGCCCATTCAGCTCACCCAGCACACCTTGCCTATCAAATCAGAAGGTTCTGTAGACTCTACTAGTCTATTTTAACATGTCTTTTATTCAGCCCTGTGTTCACTCCATGACCATCGCATCAGCATAGACCTGCACTAGTACTTGCCTGGGCAGCTGTGATTACCCAGTGTGTCCCCAGCCCGTCACGCTTCCCCTTCTTGTCCCTCCTCTGCGTGATTCCAGAGAGAGGTTTATGAATGAAAATTGGGTACGTGACCAATTCCACCACCCCACAGCGGCATCCCACGGCCACAGCCCAAGGCCAGAGGACAGGGCCGCCATCAGCTGGCTCGTGCTGGTTCTGCAGGCTCACCTTCTGGCCGACGCCCCCTCTGCATGTCCCGTCCTCCTTGGCCCAGCCAGCTGTCCACCCCAGCACCTCCACGGCCCGCCCCTCACTCTTGGGAGCACCGAGTTCCAGGGGAAGTGTCACCTCTTCCCTCTCAGCAGCTTCTCCTGAGAACTTCATCCTGTCATGCCGAACCAGCCACCCTCTTTTCTGGGTCTCCATGTGTCCTGGTTATGGAGGCTTCTCCATCATGCAGGCTGTGGGCATCCCCAGCACCCAGCATGGACCCCTTAGCCTCGGTGACGACCAGGGCCGCCTTGGGGAGGAATAAGGGGCCTCAGGACCTGCTAACCTGCCACATGTCTCAGTTAGGACATGTGGCAGGGCTCCACAGACTGTGGGGGCACTCACGTTTTCTGCTGCACCACCTCAAACAGAAGACAGCTCAGTCATCCTGCAGGGTTGCGGGAATCCCCTAGCACCTCCGGGGTGACTCACGTTGGAGCTGTGACATCCTATCCTGTCCTTTGAATTTATCATCTGGCCCAGGTCACCCCAAGACTAAATCCACACTGTCCTCGCATGGGAGAGATTCAATAGCTTGATAAGCAATTCTCAATTGGTGGGAAGCAGCCAAAGTCATCCTTCCCTCACTCCCTCCTGTGAGTAAAGTTCATCAAAGATGAGGCAATGTTAAGGACACTCAGAATTTACTGTGTAAGCAGAGCTACTACATAAGCTATGGCCACCAACTTTGTAGATAAATAGATTTACCAAACTACCATTCTTCTTAGTCCCCTCATTCCCTGGTCGGTTATAAAATATCAGAATGCAATAATCCATTTTATGATACTGATTGGTGCCATGAGGTGATTTGTAGGACTGTGTTTCGGTGTTTCTGTAGCTGTTTTTGTTCTAGATGGAGGCCAGGGAGGCCTGCGGTGTGTCGGCTCTCTTGGGGCGATGCAGGTGCGCTGGGTGGGAGCCCTCCGCAGGGATGCTGCTGCGTCTCCCGGGAGGCACGAGCCCTGGGGGCTGAGAGGGCTCCAGGCCTTCCTGCCTTGGTGTCCAGCTGATTCTCACCTCTGCCTTGTCTTTGCCAGGGAAATGATGTAGATTTGAGAATCACATTTCTCAAAAACTGGCAAGGGGATGAAAAGTGAATATGATATTTTAAATATTTGTTTAAGTGATATTAATTCTCACTAACTTTATTCAAATATCCATCTTTTTCACTAGTAATGATGCAGATTCTTTATAAGGAAGATCATCTTTGCCTTATTTTTTCTTTCTAATGTTAATACTGTTATTTTAGACTGACCAGATTTCAGAGATGAAGAAATGACTGTAGACTTGCCATGGCAGGTCAGGTAATAGTTAGAGGTGCAAACCCAGATATAGCAGAAGAAATACTGTTTCAGGAGTTCACAGTGAAATGGCTTTTAGTGTCTTAGCTTAAAGCATGTTTAATAAATAACTCTCTCTTTTATAGCTACAGCTGTTGCAAATCCAATACTGTCCTTCCTGGATGTCAAATGCATTTTATTTCAAAAAATTACAGAAAAAGGAGATGAGCTGAAAAGAGTCTTTCAGCTGCTTGATACCAGTCACAGCCTGACGGTGTCACAGAGTGAACCGAGAAGAATTGTCACAACGTTCCTGCCGCCTCTCACGAGAGAACAGTTTCAAGATGTACTGGCTCAGGTACGGTGCATATAACAGCTTGGAATACCCCACTGATGGAAAAGGTGAAGTGGGTCACAGGAGCATGCAACCTGTTCTGACCCGCCCCCCTCTGTGTCTTGAATGAGCACTTAAAGTTCTGTTTACTTTTCACAATTCACCTCAGTACATTTCAGCAGAGTTGGGATGGCCACTATGCACTTGGGTCAGGTTTTGCTTGCAGCACTGTCTCAGCCATTTTCTTTCTTTTTTTTTTAAGGCTTTCCATATAAAAAGTATTAGTCAAGTTAGATTTTGGAGTTGAGTATTTCAGCATTTGTTTTGCAGCAAATAGTTTTGCACACCTATGAAATGCAGGGCCCACTGCAGAGCCATAGATAGCAGCCTGCCCTTTGGGGGATCCCAGTCCAGGGAGAGATCACTGCAGGTGTTGAGAGTGTGGGATTCAGAGTCGGGAGAATGATCCAGAGATGAGGGTGGTCTCCAGGAAGGCTTTTGGGAGAAGGGGTGTTTAGTTGAGTTTTGGCTGAGGAGTGGGCATTAGCCAGAAGCGGGGAAGTATGTGATAGGAGAGGGAACAGCCTCTGTGAAAGCTTCCATGTGGCATCAGCATGGCGTGTGTAATTCAGGGAGCTGGGGAGAGTCATTCATCCCTGAAGTGAGAGGGTATGTGTCCGGGTGTGGGCCTAGAGGCCAGTCCTGACAAGTACAATCTAGGAGTAGGACCTTAGTCTTGGGAGCTGCAGGGAGCCAGTAAGGGGTCTGCAGCAGGGGGCCGTGCAGTTCCTTGGGGCAAATGTGGTGGACTGCGGGCCCTTGGGTCCTCCTCCTCCCCACCCTGGTGAAAATTTGGCGTGGTCTGTGCCCTCAGAGCCCTTAAAAAAGGGAATATACAATATAGGAGGAGTTGAACTCTCGTAAAATAAATCCATGGAGATCGATATAGTAAAACAAGAGTGCAAAAGCTGGGTGGGAGTGTCAGTAGTGCAGTTCCTACTCGATAGCCCGATAACACACACACACACACACACACACACACACACACACACACACACACACACACAAATATGTCTTTTTACTCTGTATTAGTTCTTAATCCAAATCTGGTGTCATCCACTTCATTGTATCTAAAAGTCTCTTCCCTCCTAGAATTTGTTACTATCCTAACCCAACCTATTTGCTTACTTTTACTACAGGGGAGTTGCATGCTAGGAACACAGCAGTGCAATGGATTGGAGACATTTCTAGTCTTATAACCGCAGGGACTGGCCCTTCTCCCTTCTTCTGATTTATTTTCTTTACCGTTGGCAGCGCCCTTTCTTCTTGAGCAGACCACGACACAGTTCCAATGTGTTCTCTCCCCTTTAATTTTTTCTTTTGCTGAATCTGGAGTTTTCAGCCGTTATTTCTTCATTATTTTTCTACTCATCCTCTCCTCTCTCAGATATTTTGGCTTTGTCCCACAGGCTCCTGAGGCTCTGTTCATTTTTTTTCTTTTATTTTGGTATCATTAATCTTCTGTTCATTTTAAAAAATATTTTTTCCTTTCTGTTTTTCAGATTAGATACTATCTATTGATCTATCTTCAAGTTAACTGGCTCTTTCTTAGCATCTCCATCCTACTGTTAAGCCCATCCAGTGAACTTTTAATATTAGACATTGTATTTTTCAGTTCTAGAATCTCCATTGGTTCTTTTTTATAATGTCTGTTTACCTGCTTAGATTTCCTGGTTTTTTCTTCAGTTATGAGCATATTTCTCTTAATTCATTAAATGTAGTTAAAATAGCTGTTTTAAAGTCTTTGAATGATAATTCTATATCTGGGGCATCTCAGGGTTGGCCTGTATTGTTTTCCTTTGAGAAAGGTCACATTTCTCCAGTTCTTTGTATTTAAGTATTTTGGATAAAACCCCTAACAGTTCTCTCCAATAGAAATATAATGTGATACAAAAATAATATAGTTATATAGTACATTCTTTAAATTTTTCTAATAGCCATATTAGAAACATTAAAAAGAAATAGGTGGAATTAATTTTAATAATATTTTTATTTAACCAGTATACCCAAAATATTATCATTTCAACATGTAATCACTGTTAAAAATTTACGATAAGATATTTTACGTTCTTTTTTGTGTACTAAGTCTTCAAATCCTGGTGTATACTTTACACTTGCAGCCGACCTCAATTCTGACACTAAATTTCCATTGGAAATATTTAATCTGTATTTAGATTTCATAAAACTTATAATTAAAATACTAGATTCACCTATCCAGTTGTTCCAAACATACTTAAGAGTTTGCCAATAATTGAATTAATTTAAAAATTTTAATTAATCAACATTAAGTAAAAAATCTAGTTCATCAGTTGCCCTAACCACATTTTAAGTGCTCAATAGCCTCATGTGGCTACAGCTGTTTTTTAGGCAGTGTAGTGCTGAGCACTGTGGGGGCTGTGCTGTAGAGATCCTGGATTTTGTCTTATTCCTCTGGGGACTGTCCATCCTTCTGCTTTGGCAGGCAATTAGCTTGCAACTTTGTCTCACCTACAATGCATAGTCACTTATACCTCAGTTCAGCTCTTCGGTCTTCAGGTAGGTCTCTTAGTGTCCGATGTGCGATGTGCACATAAATGGTTCAGGAGTCAGCTGGAAACTCGGACAGAGCTTGTACATAGAAAGTGGGTCTCCCCCGTCTCCGTCCTGTTTGAGAGTCCCCTCACATTTTTGGTGGATGAGGTCGCTCTGAGTTCTTCATGCTGGTTCTTCAGGACGGAAAGACAGTGGATTTTCTCTGGGGGCGTTAAGCCTTCTGTGTGGGGACCTGACCGTGGCCTGCTCTTAGGCCCAAAGGCATTAAGGACAGGAAGCTCCCTCCAGACTTGTCCCTTCTTCTAATTTTGACTTCCTCCCAAATCTGCCTGCTTTCATTGACTCTTCAGTGTCTTTGCATAGTTATGTTTTCACTTTTGACCAGAATTTATAGTTGTTTTCTGTGGGAGTTTGGTCTGTTTTGACCTTTCTCTGCTGCAACTTCTTCTGCTTCATCATTTTTTAAAAAGCAATCAGGAAGTTAGAGAAAAGTTAGAAGTACAGTGCAGAGAACAATTTTTTCCTAAACCATTTGGGAGTAAGTTGACTCCGTCATGCCAAATATATCAGGGTATAATTTCCTTTAAACAAGGACACTGTTCTTTATAACCACAATCCAACCGTCCAAATAAGGCCATTGACATCGACTCATCACTACCATCCCAGCCCCAAGATCCAGCCAGGTTTGGCCAGTCATCGCCGGCATGTCCTGTAGGATCCAGGTCAGAACCACGCAGTGCATCTGGTTGTCCATCATCTCCCTGTTCAGTCTTCCCTTGGCTTCGTGACCTTACGCTTTGAAGATGGCAGCATCCCCACTCTGAGTCTGTCTGGTGTTTCCTTGTGACTAGATTCAGACTTCGTCTTTGCTAGGAATATCACAGAAATGCTGTGCTCTTCTCAGTGCATTTTATTAGGTTGCGTGTGATTTCTGTTTCTCCCATCACCGCTGCTGCTCACTTTGACCACTTAAGGTAGGATCTGTCTGTGAGGCTTTTCCTGGCTTGGTAAAGTACTCTATCCGTTTTGTAATTAGTGAGCATTTTATGGAGAAGCTTTGGGGCTATGTAAATATTCCATTCTTCACCAAATTTTCAATTTATTCTTTTATTATTTGTATATTTTCAGGGAACTTGAGATTTCCTATTATTAAGTGGATTATGATCTGTTACTTTCACTATTTATTTTGATTTTTAATTTGTCCCTAATTTTTCTGGTAGGAACCCCTTCAAGCTGGTTTCTGGGTCCTCTTGACGTGTCTCCATCATTCTTTGAGCACTTCCTGACTTTCTGATATAAGAGATTCCAAACTCATCTGCCCTTTACTTACTGCAGTCCTGGAATTATCCATTTCTCCCAGGAACTCGGCTTCCCCTTAATAGAAAAGATATTCAGAATCCAATCTGGCCAGTAAGTCTGCTCGTCACCCCTGGATGTCACTGCTCCAGGCCCTCTCCGTGGGAGAGCTCTAGGGGATCCATTCCCCCTCATATATACTTGCATTTACACTCCCGTTTACTTCTATACCAATTTCTCTGTATATTGAAACCCTGAGTTCACAGCCATACCTCAGTTCTAATCCAACACCTCAGGTTCTTTCTCCTTTGCTTGCTTTGAATGTTGGTAACTACCTTTTCAGACAGTGGGAAACTCGGCTTCTGTTTTTCTCAGTATATCCACTTACTTGATGAATCTCCTGGTATAACTCATCCCCCACCTCCAGCACTCCCCTCTATGTGGGTCTCCTCTTCACCCCTCTGGGCTCATGTCCTGTTCTGGACCACCAGGCCCCCCACACTGAGGACACCATTGTTCTCTGCCACATCTAATGACTCTAGAACTGAGTGGCCAGGGAAGAAGGGAGCAGAAAAGAAAGACAAAGAGCTTTTCTCTCCTTTTTTTTTTTAGTGAAAAGTATTTCCTATTTATTCACTTGCAAAATTTCACAAATAGTGCCTATTAATTCCTTCACATGCCAGTCTTAATGTATCTACATTTTTAATATAGCTTTATTTAAGATATAAAATTCACCCTTAAAATATTTACGAGTTAGTGGTTTTTAATACATTCACAGAGTTGTGCAACCATCACGACTAATTCCAGAACATTTTCATCACCCCAAAAAGAAACTGTATTCAGCAGTAGTTGCTCCCCATATCTAGTTCCTCTAGCTACTTTCTGTCACATTAATTCACTTTCTGTCACATTAGATTTTCCTCTTCTGGACAAATCATATAAATGGAATGATATAATACACAGCCTTTTTCTGTCGTCTGGCTTCTTTCATGTAGCATGATAGTTCTCAAGGTTCATCCATGTCATATGAATCAGTCCTTCATTCCTCTTTATGGCTGAATCATAGTCCATTATATGGAGATACCACCTTTCGTTTGTCATCAGTTGATGGCTCTTTGGGTTGTTCCCAGTTTTTGGCTTTTGTGAACAATGCTGCTGTGAACATCCATGTGTAAGTTTTGTGTGGCCATATACTTTCACTCCTCTTGGGCACCTACCTCGGAGTGGAATTGCTGTGTTACATGGTATTGTTCCCTTACTTTTAAAGAACATTTGTTCTTGCAAACATTGCATCAGTTTCCTCAGAAGCTTGATTGTAACTGGTACTTCATAGCAAATGGAGGATTAAAGTATTATTTCCTGCTAATATCTCCCCATATTCATGATCTAATGTTAATTTAAAATTTTTGACAAACTTCCCAAGCTAATCAGCTATGCAGAAAGAGGAAAAGTACAGAAAGTGTGCAATGTGTATCTGTTTTTAAAAGCTACATCTGTTTTTAAAAGACATCCCTGAGAACTGTTGAACTTCACAGACTTTAAAAAAACAGTTTCTGGTAGTCTCTTAAGTAATGGGCATGTTTTCCTAGAACCTTGAGCTCCCGTGACTCATGTGTAAACCAAGAGGCTGGAGTATGGTGCATTTTCCGGAGGCCAAGTTCATTGGGCAGGAGGGGCAGGGCTTCTCCTCGCAGTCCCTGGAGTTGACAGTGGGCAACTATTCCAGATCCATTCATGTGGTGATGCAGCCTTTCTTTTCCAATATTTAATGTAACTCTAACTGGAAGGATATAAAACTGGTAAAATATTTCAAAGGACTTTTACCCTCAAAACTAGAAAAGAGTTTTTCAGTCATAGTGAATTTCCTTTAGTTTTAATTTTATTTTAAGAACCATGTCAAGAATGTTTGGATGTCAGGGTGTTTTGATGATTCATCAGGGCAAGAATGATAAGGAGGCATTCATTCCTTGTGCCTCAGTTTCTGAATATTAATATAAAATTTTAAAAAAGTTGAATTGGTAACTAGATTCCGGAGAAGGGAAACACAGTTCTCTTCTGGCCCCAGTTGTTGTGCCAGTTTGGGGGCAGAGAAGTCTCTGAAGATACTATCAACATGATGGAAATTGATTTAAAAACTATCCCCCCCACCCCCCCACCCCCCAGTCCCAGCCTGAGATTTTGCTTTCAGCGATCTGTCTGCAGATGGTTATGATTCCTCAGTAGCTTTGCTAGAGTCACAAATACTGAAAAGGCAAGTTCTTAGCAGAGCCTCTCTGTCAGACAGATTCTTTGGCTGCTTAAGGGACTTCACTTCGGAGGTTAGATACAAAAATATATGTGCCATGTTAGAATTTTTGTTGGACTATAAATAGCAGTATGAAATGTGACAAAAGCTTCAGTACATTGATGGGCTTTCTTTTTTCTTACAGGCAGAGTGGTTAGTCTAATGCAGTGAACTGGGCTCAGGAGTCACAGACATGTCTGGCATTAATGGCATTGCCATGCAGGGAGGTCACATCTCTGTCAAATGTAGGAAATGACAATGCCTCAGAAGCTGTTTTTCAGACTAGATGCATTGACTCAAGTAAAACACTGAGAGTAGTGTCTATGCCCACATACAGAGGATGAGCTTTGTAAATGTAAGTTCCTTCCCCCCTCATTAACTCACCATCACCAAAACCAGGAGGGCATCCAGACTTCGGACTACACATTTAATCAATTCTGGCCCTTCTTCTGTAAGATTAGGAGAACTTTGAAGTGGCTGCCCAAAATGATATCTACTAAAAAATGCCCTATCAGAAATAGAAGTCATGCGTGTCCTTTGCAGGGAAAGGCTTCGTAAAGCACCCTCACCCCGCTCTGTGAGCCAGTCTCCCTCTGCTCTAATTTCCTAGTTACACAAGTTTTAAATAGTAAAGAGAAGTGTGTCCTTTAGGGAAGACTGAGATGACCATGCTGGGCTTTGAGTTTGGAATTACAAGGGCTGAACAGATACCAAACCTGAGTGTGCAGACTTGGGGGAGCCATTTAGCTGTATGAGAAATTGTACTTTGTATATTTGCATGAAGCTTAATAAATATATTTCTATTCATTATATATTTATTGTAATTTTAGTTTCATGATCCTTTTTTGGGGAAAATAATTATTTTCACTTTTTAAAATACTTGACTTTATTTAGAAGTAATTTTAAACCTCCAGAAAACTTATAAGAATAAGAACAGTACAAATAGTATCTATATGGTGCAAATAATGCCCTTATCCCTTTACCCAGATTCACCACTTGTGAACATTTAACCTCATTTGCTTCTCTCATGATCTGACATTATCTAAGTGTGTATGCAAACAACATATATGATATACACAATGTATACATGCTATTTCTTTCTGAACCATTTGAGAGAAAGTTATATTATGAATATAGTATCAGTGTATGTTTCCTGAGAGTAGGAGCAATTCTTTTACATAATTACAGTATACTTATCAACATCAGTAAATTAAATATTGAGATAGTACTTTTATTTAATCTGTAGTCTATATTGACCCACTTGACTCAATAATGTCCTCTATAGAGTTTTAAATTTAAACATAGCTTTTTCCACCTTAGTAGTATATGAATGTACAGAAAGTTCACATGATACTCAGAGGATAAAATTGTGCTGTGGCCTCAGCCTCTGCAGAAATATGTTATAAATATATTACATATATTTATATATATACAAAAATATATATTAGAATATGCTTATAATTTTATTCTACTTTTTAGATATACTAGATTTTAGATAATTTTATAGACAACTTGTTGACTTTTAGTTCAGCACAGACGTTTATTCGGTTTGTACTTGGTTTGCTGAGGAATCTTGTCAGCTCAGACTCCTGCAGTGAGTAGCTGTGTTTGCTAGAATGGGTGTCCCGCCAGCAGCACCCTGCCTCACATCATGAAACTTACTGTGCTGTCCACTGCTTGGATCTGAATTCACTAATGGGCTGTCATTTTGCTTGTGTGAACGTAGATCCCTGTCACCAGCTCTGGTGCCATTCCGTACCTTGAATTCCTGTCCAGGTTTGGTGGTGTTGACTTAAATATAAATGTCATAAAGAGGTAAGTGTGATTTTTTGCTCACATGAAAATATGAAATTTGAAATGATAAGAGATAGGACATACTATGGTCATTAAAGCTAGTGATGTCAACAATATATGGAAGGCATATTGGTAGAGTTTGTCTGAATAGAATTTAATGGAGTTAATTCACAGAAACTTATTTAGAGGAGATTCTAATATCTATATAGGATATGTTTCAGAGTAAGAGAACTCGTACTGTATTAAAAATGCAAACACAGCAAATTAAAGCCAGGTTAACATATTTCATGTGCATTTTCTTTCAGATTGGGAAATACTGAATTAATTTTGAAGCAAAAATATTAAGATGCCAAATTTAAAGTTTGTTCTTTTTTATACATTTTTAATGTCTTTCATGGGAAAGTGGTTATGTTTTGGTAACTGGAAATGAAATATTAAAAACAAATTTTTGTACAAGCTCCTTCGTATTTCATAGCTATTACATAAATGCAGAGCTCATTTGCTTCATCTGCAAAATGAGTGTTAAAGTGTGAACTTTAATGTCTATCAGGTGTAAAGTTCTTTGATTTTAACGTATGATTTAGGAAATATTAGTAAAAAAAATCTGACTCATTTATCTGCCTCTAAATGAATAAGCCCCATTTTCTCAGAAATTGTGTTAACAATAAGAGTTAAATATGATCATGAAATATTAGCAAATTTGTATTATAGATCGCATGATTGAATCCATCATGGATACAGCTTAGGTGTAAGGATTAATGCAGCAGTGAGGGGAGAAGCAGGTGTTGCTCAATGGGTATTGTTTTGTTTATAAGATGGAAAAGTTCTAGAGATCTGTTGCACAACAATGTGACTATACTTAAGGTTACTGAATTGCACTCTTAAAAATGGTTAAGATGCTACATTTGATGTCACGTGTTTTTACCACCATTAAAAAAAAAAGAATTAGTGTAGCAGCTCCAACAAGACTGACAAAATAGCATCCCCTCCCTGCCTCAGCGCTTCTCTGTGCTCAGTGAGTGGTGGACTAAGATAATTCCAGGCTCCTTCAAAAGAATGACTGTTTTGTAAACTGCACATTCATGCTCTTGACCCAAAACCATCCCCACTTATGGGATAAGCTTGTTGGATGGACAGTAACCTAACTGAATATTCTTTCTAAAACTAAACAATTCTTTTTTTTTAAATTGTGAAACCTCAGTCATATGTTTAATGAAAAAGATTATAAGTGATTTCCTTAAACATAAAAGGCTAAATATTTAAACTAAATTTGAAAGATTTATGATTTACTCATGAAGGTGAATTCCTTTTATTGTTGTAGACAATGTATTTAGTGAATAGAGACTTTTCTTTCTATTAATATGGTAGGCTACATCCATGAACAACATTTCCACTGGAAATCAAGATGCTGAATAATGGTAAAATATATACATACATTTTAATACATTAGTGAGCTCGAAAGGAACCAGTCCTCAGAGGCCAAACAAGAAATGGAAGTTGGGGTCTAGAGAGGGAGCACTCTGTAAAGGCACCTTTGTGCTGAGAGTATCGGCCAACTCCTGGTGAGGCTGTGCTTTGACTTGCTTGCCTAGTTGGAGTTAAGGGAACAGGAGAAAAAGCCTAAGGGGTCTGTGCAAGTGGAGGAACTGAGCAGAAGACCAGTACATACAAAGGCGGCACAGCTGAACCTGCTTGTAAGGATAAATTACAGATGCACACCTGCAATCCCCGAAGGGCACAATAAGGAGACCTCCCTGCTTCAACACTGGCATTGGGTGAACCGGGGAAAAGTTGTAATATACAAGTCAATATTTATGCAAGTCTGTGCCTGAAAGCATGGTGCCCACATGGTCTGAAGAGTCTCAGACTAGGCATTTACTTCAAACTGGTCCTGGACTGTGGGTGTGCCCTCCTGTAGAGGAATACATCTTTGACCTAGACCTTAAGGAATTGCCACAGATGAAATGCCAAGTTACATTAGACTGCACACAAAAATATTGAAAACGTATGAAGAGACAAAGAATGAGAACTTTAAACCAACAGAAATAATATCCAGTGGAATCGGATCTCTAAACACTTGAAATATAACTACCAGATTCCAAATCTAAAACTAGTGTTTTAATATTTTAAAGAAATGAAAGAATGGAGTCAATTTATGAACACAAAACAAGAGGCAATAAAACTAAAGATACAAAGAAGTATAAAATGGAACTTCTGGTTCTGAAAGCTGCAATAATTATAGACATAAAATTCACTGGGTAGGGGAAAATAGTGGATTAAACATAGCTGAAAAGAGCATTGGTGGAGTGGAAAATAGATCTGAAGAAAACCATCACAGAAGACAAGGAGATACAACACACGGAGGACAGGTACAAGAGATGTGGGAGAGAGAAGTAGAAAGCCTAATATAGTTCTTGCTGGATTTCCAGATACAGAAGAGGAAGAACAGGGCAGAGATGATATTTGAAAAGGTTAACAGCTAAGAATCTCAAGCCAGATAAAAAGAAACGCCTACTTAAACATACCATAGCGAAACCGCAGACCATCAAAGTCAAAGAGAAAATATTAAAGGCTGTGAGAAGAATCACTGAATTGGTTTCAGAGGAGTGACAGACTGATGCTGATGCCCAGCACTGCCGGTGAAGGGCACGAGGCTCTGGAAAAATCCCTTCAGTGTGCAGTAATACTAGTCATCCATATTTGTACAAGTAGGACCTTTTTCTCTGGGAATCCCTGGGACCCTCTCCTCTTCTTGCCATAGTATATGCTTATCCATTGTTACGAGATATTTGTTTCTTTGTTTTGTTTTTGGTATCATTAATATACAATCACATGAGCAACATTGTGGTTACTAGATTCCCCCCATTCTCAAGTCCCTACCACATACCCCATTACAGTCACTGTCCATCAGCATAGTAAGATGCTAGTGACTCTATAACATCTTACTATGCTGATGGACAGTTACCAGAGTATTTGGAAAATAGAGAAGCATCTGGTACATTTACCTACAGCATCCAGGGTTACCTTTCAACTGGATACTTCCTTTCTTTCCTCATAGTGCAAAGGGTGCCTCTTGCTGTCAGTATGAAAGGAACATTGTGATTGGAGAAGGGCAGATGGTGGGGGGCTTCTTGTGTTTGGCTTTAATCCTTGACTTTGGTAATTATAAATAGGCACTTGCCTTATTTATAATTAAACTATGCATATCATTTAATATACTGTTCTGCATTCACAATAGCAATTTCAGACTCAATGAATTTAATAAACAGATTAGACAAAATGAAGAAGTAAGTGAACTTGAAGATTGGTGAGAAAAAATTAGAATACAGGGCAGAGACATAGAAGACTTAATTGGACTTCTTTAAGAGAGTAATGAGAGATGGGATGGAGTTAAGATCCAAAGAAACAATGGCTAAGGTTTTTCCAGAACTGATGAAAGATACTATCCTGCTAAATCAAGAAGCCAAAGAAATTCCAAGCAGGACAAAACTGGGGGATGGAGGCAGAACCCCACAGACCAAGAGGTCTTAAAAAGCAGACAAAGGGCAACATTTAGACAAAAGTGACTTCTGAATAGTAATGATGGAAGCCAGGTGAGAGTGGATTAATAACTGGGATGTACTGAAAGAAAATTGCTACCATCCTAGAATTGTATATCTAAATAAAATATCATTCAATATTGAAATAAAGACATTCTAAAACAAAAATGGATTTGACTCTAACAGACCCAGCACAAGAAATACCAAGGATGTACTTTAAGGTAGAAAGAAGGAAAATGATTTCGGATGAAAAGTCTGAGATGATGCGAGAAGGCATGAGGAGCAAAGATGGCCGCAAATATGTGGCGAAATCTCAAAGGACATGCTCATGACTGTAGGGAATAATGATGACTTCTGGGATTTAAAAAATAGGATAAGACTAGAGTACATGAAAGTAGTAATATATGAATTGACAGGAGGGACTAGAATGAAATGTTCTAGAGTTATTACATTGTCCAATAGGAGGACAAATTTTTAATTAATTTTAGCCTTTGAAAACAATACAGGTTATAATTTACAGAGTAAATTATTATAAGAGTAAAAGTGGAGTGAGTAAACCCCAAACTAGTAGAGGGAAACAAATAGAGTGATGAAAATGAAGTCCACTCAAAAGAAGAAGAATAGGCAGGATAAATAGAAATCCCCAATACTTGTAATTATAATAATGTTCTACTTAAAAGACAAAGATTGTCTGACTAGAAAACAAATAGTCAAATCCACTGAGAAACCTAAGCGTAAGTTTATAGAAAGTTTCAAAGGGAAAGGATTTTTTAAGTTCTGATGTAAGGAAGCTGGTGTCACTAGAATCAGGTAGCAGATGGGGGGTGCTCCTGAAACAGACACTGTGATGGAGTTGGGGTGCGAAATGTGGATAAGGGAAGACACTGTGGAGGGAAGAGACCCCAGCAGGGTTGGGCAGAGGATCTCTGATATGGGTGTGAGGGGGCCTTGGCCAACTGGGGAGAGCCGGGGTGACGGAAGAGCCCACTGGGGCTTCCCATTTCTTCAGAAGATGGCGGGTACACAGGCATTGGTCTGATTTTTATTCTTTATCTTAAATATATGTTACAAATAGTGTTTTGTATCTATTCAATACACAGTTAAAACAATGCTAAAAATACTACATTTAGATAGAATCATAAGCCTGGATTCCCGGTGTGATTCCATCTTTAACTTCGGCACTTAACCCCTCGGAGCCTCAGTTTCCTCCTATGTAAAATGAAGCCAGTTTCTACTTAAAATGCTCTGACGGCTTCTCCTGACCCCATTCTGAAGTCCAGAGTCCTTATCATGGCCCGCAGCACCGCGGGGCTGGTGTCTGTCTCTGTCTGAACCCACCTCGCACTCCCCGCCCTGCTCTGTGGGCTCTGGTCTTCCTGGCCTTCTGGCAGTAGCCACCCTGGGGTGTGCCAAGCTCCTGTCCCCTCCGGGCTTCACATGCTGTGTGTTCCCTTTGCTTTGCCTGGCGAGATGCTCCTCCAAGTGGATTGCTCCCAGCTGCTCAGCCTGTGGGTGTGTGTTGAGATGACGCTGCCGTCCACGCCATCCAGAAGAGCTGGCCCGCCCTCCCCCGGTCCCCAGGCTATTCCCCCGACCAACCTATTTTCTTCACAGCACCTGTTATTATTTCAGCTTAGGTTACTTATTTGTTTGCTTATTTCCCATCTGTTGCTGTCACTAGCATTAGGCTTTTTCAAGACTGGGCATGGTGTCCTGCTCCTGTGGCAGCCCCAGACCTGGGTGTAGGAGGTGCTGGATCAGTGCTGCGAAGCGGAGGCGTGTGGGTTCTCCCTGTGGTTCTCTGCCTCCACCCCGACACTGCCAGTTTGTCCCAGAGAGGGGCTCTGAAGTAGTTTACAGTTATATAGATAATGCAAAATAAAAGCAGGTGGGACCAAGGGGATGGTATAGACACCCACCTACCATAAAGTCCTTTAGAGAGAGGCTGAGAGTGTGGCACCCGGTGGACTGGGGACCCTGCGGAGGTCAGAGCGAAGTGCTACAGCAGACGAGTTAGGCACGTGCTGACCCGGCACCTCCACTTTCCCCACGTGACTGTCAGCTCCCTCCATCCCCCCTGTAAACTGGGATGATGATGGACCCTGAACTCAAAAGTTGTCGTGAGGAATAAATGACATGGGGTTTGGCCATAGTAACTGCTCATTAAGTGTTGGCTATAATTACTCAATTCTCACACTACCCTCGGAGGGATCAATGTTAAATTTCATTTTACGGATGAGGGAAGCTCGTGAGGCATGGAGAAGCTAAGTAATTGGCCCAAGTTCATGCTTCTGGCAGATGGTAGTGAATAAGAAATACCTTACATTTAAAAATATCTAATTTAGAAATCTTTACAATTTTGATCTTTGCATGTCCTACATAAATGCTCATTTGGTTAAAACATTTTAACAAAGTTTTTATTTTTATTTTTAAGGGGAGGTGGAATGAAACAAATTGCTGTCGGGACAATAAAAGAACTTGAAGTCCAAGTAGGAGAAAAGGTAATAGAGACCTTTTAAAATTCTTTTCCCCTCACCCTTTGTTGTAAGTATTCGTTAGTTTAGTGGCGGTAGATGAATCAAAATGAGCTGCATCTTGTCTGAGTTCTCACGTCAAAGTCCTCTGACAAATAGATCTTCTTATAACCAGGCTGGGAAGGCTTGTACCCAAATGACTTCGAGTGCCTTGGGTGGCATCTCCTTTGACGAATGATCAACATAAGTCCTGGGAATTAATTCCTTTTGTATTAACTTCAGATCATTATTAGTAGGGCAGGCCTTTCTGTTTTTGTCTAAGACTAAAACAAGGATTTCTTTAGAAAGAGAAAACTACTGCTTTCCAACGCTAAATGCCAGTCAAGAGGAGCATGGTAAAAATAACCAGTAAAACTCAAAGCCATATATACTTAGCTATTGAGTAATTTAGCCACCAATGCTACTACATATGTTTAAAAAAGAAGCAAATAGCTTCAATCCTATTTGCCGATTACGGTTGGATATCATAGTGCACAGCTACGGAGGGAGGAGCTGCTCAGGGCGTTTAAGGGTTGGAATCAGACCCCTTTTAAAATGCATTTGAGTCTGTCAGTTACACGAGCAATTTGAGAATCATGGTTTAATTTATTTGATTCAATATGTTGGTTTGAAATGTGACAAATTTTCTTTCCTTTTTGAACTCTTCTGAGATTTTCATGCATTTCAAAAATCAAAAATAGCCAGAAATCCACAAAATGTTTGTCTAAATTTTCCTGGCTGCTGCTGTTAACACCAGAAGATTCATCTTAATGTGATATTTTTTTAGCCGTATGTGCTCCTAAGAACCTGGTTTCAGGTTTATAGTTTATATTAGTAGGATTCCTGGTATTATTTGCTGCTTCTAGTGTGATTCATTTATTATTCTATAAGAAGTATGTGATACGATTGATATGTATATGTATTAATTTGTCCCTTTATAAACTGTTAATCATGAAATACTCCTGGGAAACTGAACTGTTTATGGCAATCATCACATCAACGTAAAACCGTTATAGATCAATCATGCAACTTTACAGTTAATGTGGAGTGTATGGACGTAGTGCCAGATTGTAAATTACTGAAAAGAAGGCTTCGATGAGAAGGGCTAGAAGGGAACTCCACTCTAGTCAGCCTTTCATCTACCTCCTCTTTGATCCCAGCCCCTTCCTGTCATCCGTGGGAGAAGCCCTCCTACTGATGGAGTCTAAATCAGTGCAGCTTTTTGCAACTTCTGATGGAACAAAAAGGTGACAGAGGAGGCACAGGAGCTGCGATTGAGATAAGACATCCCAGAGCAGCTTTGGGGTTTCTCTACGGTGCTTTCTGGCCAGCATAAGCTGCAGCTTTTACTCTAGACCCTGACCCACAGCAGGCCCATGGACTGGGACAAGACTGGCCTCGGGACCCAGCCAGACCTGGGTTTCCATCTTGGGTTTTTGCCATTTACCAACTTGGTGACCTTTGGCAAGGCCTTATCATTGGGTTTCTTCATCTGTTAGTGGGGATAACAACACCTTGAGGTACAGTTGTGTGGCTTAAAAGTCCAGTAAAAAGTGCCAGGAACACTTAGAAAATGCCAGCTGTCACTCTTGTGCTTATCACTACAGCTTCCTTTGAAGTATAGGTAGGAACAAAAATGAATCTCCTCTCTTCCCACCACCCCGAAAATAAACTGGACAAACCAGGTGCACTCCTCAACTGTTGGCCGTGTGCAGTAGCATATTTCCAGTTACAACTGGTCCTGAAAATGGTTCACATGTGACTGTCGGGGTCTGAGAACACCTAGGGTTATTAAAGGAAGGCACTCTTCACACATATGTTGTCATTGCTGGGTGATTTATGCAGTTTGGGAGTGAAAGAGTGCTAAGTTTTTTGTTTTAAATATATATAAGTCCATGTGGCTTACTGGAGCCAAGAATGCATGCAAATGTCTCTGCATTTTGGGAGCCAGACTTTTCCTAAATGTACATGCATTCTGGCCTCCCTAAACCAACAAATAACTAGCAGCTGGCACCCCAAACCGACCGAACCCCAGGGATTGTGTGTCCTAATTGTTTCCTCTGCAGTGAGCTTGGGCTGGTAGCCAGTTCCTCCTCAGCTTCTCCCTTCTTTGTGCGCTCTTAGACCCTCCAACATAGGTCCATGTTCACGCTCATTATCCAGCTGAACCCTCAGTTTCCGTCATTTTCTCCATCACTCAAGGGGAAGGCAGACCGGGTGATTTCCAAGACCCGTTTGTCCGTCTCTTGCTGATCGTGAGCCACGCCCCCTGCCTGGTCCCCTGGGGCTCTGTGCTTGGGAAGGAGAAGCTCTGCTGCTCGTTGGCTTCTGGTTCCAGCTTTAATCGGCCCTCTGGTCCATGCGTGTGGCACTTTGAGTTGTGCACATGCCTCACCTGTTCTCATTGTCTTGGCCCTTGCTTTTCATTTGGTCACCGATATGTGCTTTCCTTTGGCTTCTCTTCTGGGCCCTTGACTCGGTGTCTCCTTGACTGCTCTGGAATTCTCTGCTCTCATTCTCATAGGAAGCAGAGGGATTTAGTGGGAGTCAGGCACAGCTCGCCTGAAATCTAGCCTCTGCAGCTTCCTGGCGGGGGCCTCCCACAGGCCCCTCGCTCCTCTGAGTTTCCTTGTCTCCAAAGGGGAGACAGCGAACTCACCTATCAGGGTAGTGGCGAGAATGAATAAGAGCAATGTAAGCGAAGCCGTTGGCAAACAGTAGACGCTCAGTAAGTGTTAGTCCCGTCCCCGCCTATTAATGAGGCCAGTTCTCCTTGCATGCACTCTTGAAACCCTTCCTGTGGTAGGCTTCACCTGCTACCAGGTGGCCCCCCTCAGCCACCAAGGTGTTTGGCCATTCTTCCCCGTTAGAAGCAGAAACCTCCAAGTGAACTAACAGAGGCAATAAGGAGCCTCTCATCTCGTCTAGGAGGAAGTCAGAAGGGAGTGCAGGCCCAGAGTCAGCTGCCCCATGTGTCCCCTGGTCACTGGAAGGGCACCATCTTTCCAGGCAGGCCCGACATGTGGGTGCTGTGGCGTCAGTGTTTCCAGTATGCCGTTTCTTTCCATGTGATGACTCACAGATCGTCCCGGTGTCCTGCGCCCAAACCAGACAGTGACTGTGGCATTGGCCACCATGGTCGCCACGGCAGCTCAAGCCTGATTACTCCCCGGTGCAGCAACCAGACTCCCGCCCCTGGGGCACACGGCCTTCAGAGGGTGGATGTCTGAACAAAATGGAAACTGTGAGAAAGGAAGAGGGGGCGGAGGTGCGTGGGCTTGGGGAAGGCAACCAGCAGGTATAGAAGGGCTGGGTCTTAATCTTTTGGTGATGAATGTAATTTTTTTGGATTTTGCCAACTTTAGTAATAATAATAGTCAAAAAGCACTGATTGAGCACTTACTAGGAGCTGTTCTAGGTGCTTTAGTGTATCAAATCATTTAATTTCCAGGAGAACCCTGTAGGGCAGGTGCCGCTGCTACCCCACCCTGATACAGAGGGAAACTGGGACAGAGGCTCAGCGGTCTGACCACGGGCACACAGCTGGCAGGCAGCGAAGCTGCAGTTCCCAAGTCCTCGCCCTTACCCACCAGGCCCCCTGAGAAACAGGAGGCTCTTCCGACCCATGTAAGGATTCAACGTACATTGAGAAACATCATGACTCTTCCTTCCCACCACATACCAAAAAAACCCTGTTCTTTACTGAAGACTAGAGTTCAAGAATGTATAATTCAGTTAAAGATGTAAAAAAAAAAAGAAAGAAAGGAAAAACCACATTCAAGCCCCAAGCTGTCAGCTCTCACACCACGTCACCACCCAAATCAGGAACACTCTCTCCAGCTTGGGCGATGTGATGTCAGAACATCTGGTCTACGCAGTCAGCCGAGGGGTCTGATGCAGTTCTTACGGGATTACTCTAGTGCCTTGGAGTTGGAGAGATGCAGCCTTAGTCATTTCAGAAGCAGTTAGTAAATAATTAGAGGTACTAAGCTGCTTGCTTGGTCTGTAATGTCCTCATGAAGAAGAGGCAAAAGTGAGAGGTAGATTCATTTCTTAAATAGGTGAATTTTCCTAAAAAAGAAATTAAAAAACTATTGCTTGAGGAATAAAGAAACAGTTGTTAGACTCACAGCCATTTCATAAACATACCTTAACATTATAGCACCACATTAGCATGAATGAATGTACTGGAATGCAGTCTGTTTGCCTAATAAAAAGACTGAGTCAAACTGAAAAGGAGCCCATTTACTAGAACATATAAGCCTTTGGTCAATTTCTAATAATCTTCTAATCCCACTTTTATCAGCTCTCCTTTGGTGCACTTGGTATTAATTGCCTATTATAGCAGGTATTTGAACACATCTCCTTTTTCGTCAGAAGAAAATATTAGCATATCGCAGAGCTGTTGGGACAGATTGTATCTGAGGCACTTTTTCCTCCCTGCAGAAGAGCCCATCAATCATAATGAACATAGTGATTAATAGTGTCACAGCTCTTCTTCGTGTGTCTGTGCAGCTAAATGAAGAGTAATGCTTACATTCTCATCTAGAGAATTTCACATAACAAAATAACCAGTTGCTGTTTTATTAAAAAATTATATTGAAAATACTTCCTCTCCAGGACCTATTTTTGGTTGCTTTATTATTAATTTACAAAAGGCTTCATCAGGAAATTAAAGTAAAAATTCTGCTAGGTTAGACTTTGTATTATTTCAGACTAAGTTAATCTTTTTTTAAAAAAAAATGACATCTTTTTTTTCTTGCATGTGGCAAACCAGTAGGACAAACAAGCTTGTAGGGGTCAATGTTTAAAACACCACAGAAGAGGGAGGAACAGGCCGGGCGCTTGGCCTTACCTAGCGGAGAGTGCATCTGAGTGCCAACACTCACCAGCTGAGTGACCCTGAGCCAGCTAGTCTCTCTGGAGACTGTTTCCTCATCTGTGAAATGGCGAAACAGTATTGATGCAAAGTTTTCCCAATATCATTG